CATGCTTTGTTGCTGTCTGTGCAGTAATTGCTGCTTGTTTGTTTCCAGATGCATATTACTGTATATAAAAGCATATTCCAGCCGAGTGGGAGGAGCCAGTCAATTTAGGCCACGTATAAATGCCAGGTGTGCTGGCTGTTCGGGAGGGAGAAAGGAGAGGCACTTTCCATGTTGGTTTTGGAGAGAGAACATGTATATTTGGGAGCACTGTAAATAAATCCACCCTTTTTGTTACAAGTTTTGGAGCCTTTGTTTTGTTCTTCTGCCACTTTGACCCACTCTTGCTACACTACCTCACAGTGTCAATGGAGTCTCCCTGAACAGGGGAAAATAGTTTATGTAGAGTTAAAATATTTTATGACAATGTAATTGCATGATAAAATAAACCAACTAAAAGAATAATTACAACTTAAATTTACACATCCTTCTATTTTAGAGTAGCATTTTCTGACACACAGCCCAGAACCTTATTGGCCAGATATTTTAATGTTGGCCCAACGTTATCAACTTTAAAAGACTAAAGACTGAAGACGCCTTACTCTGCCCACATGGAAATGTGAAAATTCTCTAAAAAAGGGCGATGCTTGGAGGACCAAGGGACAATGGGGGGCTTTTTTTATCTGACAAGCGTGTATGGACATTTTTTTAAGACGTGTTTAATATTCTTTGTGTTTTCACTGTTGATTCTCTGATTTGTGTTGGTGATTTCAATGGTTTTGTTAAGTCTCTGAGATGAATTCTGTTATGATTTAGGGCTATACAAGAATAAATTAGTATTGTAAGCGAGCTGTCAATCACAGCCCAAACAAAATAATAAAAACACAGTTGTAATTGCTGCTTAAAGAAATAGTTTACGCACTTGACCTTCTCCTTCCACCCTTGTTTACACACTATGATAATTGTAGAGCTACACAGCTGAACCTAAGCCACAGAATTATATAACAATAATAATAATATTATAAACTAATAGATGTCGCCAGAATATTCCCAACTCGCTACTGGGAATGTGTGAGACTTTGATGCTGGAGTGGAAAGCATCAAAGAAAGCAGCTAGACATCCGTCGTTCTGCGCCTGTAACGCTGCAAAGGGATGTGATCAATTCAAATGTATTTCCACTTTAGTGTAGAGCGGGCGCCACACTGACGGTTTTAGGTTTAACTGTGAGATTTTCTCTAATTTGCACTAAAATGTCAAACAATTGACCATAATATGTAGAGAGCACTATAACAAAAATATTTATGCAGTTTGTAAGATAAAAAGTTGATTTGGTGTTTAGTTGTCATTCAAAATAACAAACCTCTGCAATTCCTTCCATGATTTCGGTGATTTTGTGGCCAAGTTTTCCTCCTTTCTTCCTGTAGATTTGGATTAGTTCAGGGGCGTCATCCAACTGGGACATAAACTTCGACGTCAAGGATGTTGTGGTGATTCGTCTGAATTCTGCATTTATCTACAACATAAATAAAAATGATATAATATCATCCCTTACAGAATGGGCGAGTCATTTTATTAAATCTATATTTTATTGTCAAACAACAAAAATTGATAACCAATTGTGTAATAGGTGGTAATAGTGAAATGATGTATTAGTTGTAACATTAGATTCTTTCAATACTTTAGGACCCTTTTTCACACATTTTAACACTCACAATGGCGGTTTCTAGTTATAATTACAAACCAACATGGACTTACCTCTCGATTCTTTGTTTGCAGGTCTAAAAGTCCATCTACAGGAACAGGTTTCAACATGATATATTTGAAAAGAGAGCTGGCCATCGAAACCATATGAGTGTTTTGTGGGACGACCAAGTGGGACAAAATCATTTTGGGACCAAATACTACCTATCACTACATCAGCATGTCCACACCAGGAGAGAGACCTACCAATGTGATCAGTGTGGAAAGACCTGGAGATCTGCAGCTGAAACTTAAAGAGACACTCGACTTTTCACCACAGGAGAAAAAACCATACAAATGTGATCTGTGGGTATAGGTTTTTCTACAAAAGGGTTCTCTAAGTTCCACAGCAAATGTCTCGCAAAATCCACACTAGAGAAACAATCATATGTGTGTGAGTTGTGTGGAACAGGTTTTACTACAGAAGATAATCTCAGCTCCACGCAGGAGGTCCACACTGGAGGAAAAGCCTTTCAGCTGGTGGGCCTTTTGTGGGTAAGAGTTTCACACTAAAGGGTAATCTTAGAGTCATCAGATGATCCACACAGGAGTGAGAGAAACCAAATTCAGTGTGACGAGTGTGAAAAAATTCAGTGAGAAGAGACTTCCTCTTATTAATCTGCACATCCACAAGTAGAAAAAACCTCACCATGTGCCAGTCGTTGTGAAAAGACTTTTACACGTTTATCAAACCTCATTGTGCACTACAGAATCACACTGGAGGAAAAACCATTCGCTGTGGGAGACTGTGGAAGATGTTTAGGCGCTTTTCAAGGCTACAAAATTCCTGAGAGAATTACACTGGAGAAAAAACAATTTGCATGTGACCTCTGCAGTAAGCTTTTAGACTGCATTTCGACGGCCACACTTCACCATCGGATCCACACTGGAGAAAAAAAATCCCTTCAGCTGTGAGGTTGTGATCAGAGGGTTTTTCCCACAGTGGTCATCTCAAAGTATCATCAGAGAGATCCACACTGTGAGAGAAACATTTGTCTGTGAAAAGTGTGAAAGTCTTTTACCCAAAGCTCATCGCTCTTCAATAGACACAGTATAAACCTGTGAGACCAGCTTCTGGCACAAAGTGAAGGAGACAGAGCTGACGGGCTGCATCATGTGAACCCAGAGTCAGACTTCTACAGGATCACACTTCAGTCTTACCAGAGGGTGTGCGACTCTACTCATGTGACTTGGACTAGGGTCAGACTCCAGGTTTCATGAATTTGATGATTTTGACTCGACTTAGACTTTAACATCATATGGACTCTGACTTTCCACTTTGGAACTTGTGCCCTATTGACATGTAAAGGACTTGTGTAACCGGGTCATTTTTACCTTTCTCCACATCTCTATTTTTATCCATGTCGCTCTGAGGGAAAAATGATTTGGTAGTTGTAGTGCTTGAGCCAAGAGTTGGACCGAGTTCCCTCACGGGTCCCTGCAGACATTCGCGTGTGGGGCGTGTTGTCGTGGGAAAGCCCCAATCAGAGAGCTGCAGGTATTTTTCACGATCCAAACAATCATCTTTTCCAAACCGTAAAACGTTCGCGCACTGGTGTCATGGTCCTAGTCCAACTGAGATTTAGAATAATTATACTATAAGCTTATTCATATATGTATCATTTGCTACTTCCCATAAATAACTACATGGACCACAGGACTGTCTATATTTTTGTATACCTTTTTGCACTGCTGTGCTTTTTGGAAACTATATAATTGTTCCTGCATTAACATTGAGTAATTGTGAAATTAAGGTCTAGAGTTTTCAGTTACACTCTGGAGATTATTTACAGCTGGCATCCACAAAACAGTGTCGTGGGAGGGCAACTTCTGGCCAGAATAATCCACCTGACGCAAATACCAAGAGCGGCGAAACATCTAAGGCGAAAACCCAAATGTGAGGAGGCCGCGGGCTGCAGAAGGAGGAAAGAGAGGGGTCTTCATTCTCAGAGCTGAACCACGGAGGAAGACGAGCAAATCAGGAGGTGAGAGTCCAGGGCTAGTCACCTGTGCAACCCAGAAACAGCAGGCCTTAAACGCGGGGGAAAGACTGGGGGCTGGCCTGCTTAACATACTTATTACACCTGGGTAACAAAACATTTTTTTTTTTAAATAGTCCAGGGTTTTCAGCTGAATTAGACTAAATGTTGATGCTCTGGTCTGGAAAATGACTTGGTTTTGCTCAATCAGGTCAGGATTTTTTGTACAGAAATATTTTTTTTAATCGATTTTGCGTAAAAAACAAAATTTCTGGGATCATCGTGAGAAGAAACCCTTGACGTTTTTTTCCGTTTTCCTCAATAAATAAAAGTCAACGTATCAAAAGACATTCTGTTTTTATTTACTCCATTAGAATTCATAATACGTAGACGTACATAATCCGTAACACTATGGCTGTATCTCAAAAGTAGACCTGATAGCGCAAATGCATATGATATTCGGACTCAGAACACCAACATTAGTCTGAACAGTTGAGAAACCCCTGACCTTTTTTTGGCTTTGTCAACTGTGTAATTTTTATGTAAATTGTAAATTTTTTAGCACTGTTTTCTACTATTTAAATAATTAGTATTTATTTATATAGTGACAGTTACCAGGGAAGTCTAGATTGAAGTCTGTAAAAAAGATTGGTTACTAAAATAGTTGATTTTTGACAAATGGTCAATCATTTTAAATAGTTGTATAAGAACTAATCCAAAATGGTTTATTGACTCTTCGTTAGTCTTTAACATCGTGAGGATGAGGCTTAGTCTCTGCTAACTCATATTGACTGCAGAATGAAAGGAAAATAGTGTCTACAATCAAGCAGAATCATCACTTGGGTCAATGAAGACCTGGGTAAACTCTTTTTTTTTTTTCATAACAGCCCTTAGCGTGCCATATTTGTTGTCACACAATAGTAAACTAATAGCTCAAGGATCAATGTTCACTGGATGCAGGAGAACCTGGACAAGTTGGACTCACACTTCACTGTATCCAACAGATCAGTGAGTGGATGAAAAAACAACTTCCTCAGCTAAACGCAGACAACAAATGAAATGATTGTCTTTGGTCCCCAGAAACAAAGAGAGCGTCACTGTCACCTCCAGTCCACTCTCCTAAAACCTTCAAAACCAAGGTCAGAAATCTAGGTGGTAATACTGGATCTCAGACATAAATTTTATAGCCACATCAAATCAGTAACATCAGCAGTTTTTTACCATACCTAAAAAAACATTGCCAGGATCAAAAAACATCGTGTCTAAGGCAGACTTGGAGATTCTTATCCATGCATTTGTCTCCAGTAGGTAGACAGAGAGTACGACCATATTAGTCCGGTCCCTCACTCCCCCCCCCCCCCCCCCCCCCCCCCCCCCCCCCCCCCCCCCCCCCCCCCCCCCCCCCCCCCCCCCCCCCCCCCCCCCCCCCCCCCCGGTCCTGAACTGGTTTCCTGTGCTCAGAGAATTGACTTTAAAACAGCTCTGCTTGTTACAAGTCTCTCCTTGGCCTGACCAAAATATATTGTGACATGTGTCCCATATGAATATGACTCTGAGGAGCACAGGGACTGCCTCCTGCTGGGACTCTGAAGGAAGCACAGGGACTTGACTCCTGATGGGACTCTGAGGAGACAGGACTGGACTCCTGTTAGTGCCCAGAGTCAGAACTAAACATGGGGAGGACTGCTTTCGATTAACTGCTTGCTAAAATCTGGAACAATCTTCCTGAAGATGTGGACCGGCCTCCTCTCTGACAATGTTTAAAACCAGGTAAAAACAGTACTGTTTAGCTGTGCTACAACTGATGGGGATTTTATCTTTTATCTTTCTTTTTAATGTTCTGTGATTATTTATGATTTTAATGCTTTCTTATACTGTGAATGGTGCTATACCAAATAAACTTGCCTTGCCTAAACAACATTTGAAAACCTGTCTGTGGTTCCCGAAAGACCATGGACAGGGACATGGAGGACTGAGGGACATGGACAGGGCATGGAGGTCTGAGGACGAGGACAGGACATGGAGTCTGAGGGGACAGTGGATGGACTTGGAGGTCTGAGGGACAATGGACAGAATGGGGGTCTGAGGGAATTGGACAGGACATGGAGGTCTGAGGTGACATGCGACAGGACATGGAGGTCTGGGGGACATGGACCTGACTTGGAGGTCTGAGGACATGGACAGGGCAGTCTTGCCGTTACAGCACGTACGGCGTAAAGTGCGTTCAGACAAACGCGTTGTGAGCGTCCAAAAGGTCGGTTTACAGTGACCTAACTATGGGGGTCCGCGCCGTCTAGGGAGCGTCAAGAAGATCACGCGGCGCGTTAAGGTGCGTGTTCAGAACCAAACATGTTTTCTGCGGGCAATATCGCGTCTGGACGCGCGTCTTGGGGACGCTTGTGACAAATTGTGGAGGACGCTGTCCAGAGCTTCTTGGAGTAGCCTTGGCTCCAGCCGAACCTTTAGCCCCGCCTCCATGGAGTTCTGCGGGCAGTCGTCTGCATTCTCAATGGAAAAACCATTTATGCCGGGTACGATACCTACGGGCCAGTCAAGATGACAGGGCGGGCTTCATGTGATGTAATGGTTATGTGTTAATCCATGTAAATAACACGACTTCATATATGAAACACGTGGCATTCGAGAATAGTGGGTATAAAATAATAGGTAGAATTTTTTCTTTTAACCGCGCTTACCCTTTGTGAGCTTGCTTCGCGGTTTTGCAACGGCTGCAGTTATGATTGGAACAGATTCTTCGCGGCTCTGGGCGACTTATAAGGGCTCACGCTCCCGGTCTCTCTTCTCTGATGGTGACTCAGCATGAGCATGCTTCTTCAGAGGGTTTCTCTTCTTCGTTTGTCCATGATTTGACCGGGAAATGTCGCGTTCCAGCTCTTGAAATCAGGTTGTGGCAGGACGACAAATGCGCGTTTAGACTTTCTCTGATGTCTTGTGAAGTTGTAATCACTAAATGGTAGGGACTTGTGATCGATCTATGGATTTACCTTTTTTATTTCTCTCAAAAAATTGAGTAAGTGTTGCTAAATACTCCGGCGTATCTTCAAGTTCTTTATGCAACACAAAAAACCTAATCTGAATTCCTACATCAAGATAAGAAAATGTGTTGGCCTAGGAACCAATAAGAATCAGAATTAGAAGGTTGAATCCAAATAAAAACATTAAGCCTCCTTTTTAGTCCTTCTTAGTTTTTCATGTAATGTAATTTATGTTATTACTATTTATAATTGTCTCATGAGATAAAACAGCTACAAGTCAAGACATTTTATTAGCGATGCTGTTATTGCTACTTTTTGCAACACCAAAGTTATTATGAAAAAGTGTCCTTATCGTGGTTTTGGATGCAGCATTTGGGAAGATGAGCCCACGTGGTGTGTCGTTTTTTTCCCAACGCAGTTTTGCAAAGACACACATTTTTAAATAATCCAAAGCTCATATTATTTAGACAAATAATTATATCCTCCTTTATTAAAGGTTAATTAAAATACTTTACGTATTAATCTTAAATCGATAGTGACTTATTATTCTGTCAAGAGGAAGTGAGTTCAGGCTATCTCACTGTTTGGGGAAAAATTCATAACGTAGCTCGTGTTTACTTCTGACCTCTGCACGAGACCGGAGAGGGAGCAGCATGTTACCCGGGATCCGCACTTCTGTGGCCGGCTTGCGTCTCTGTGTCGGCACCGCTGCCCGACGATGGCTGCTCCCGAGCGGACAGCTGCCTCACAGCCGCCTGCGGAGCCTCTGTTCCCGGTCTGCACACAACTGTACCGTGGACCCCGGAGCCCGAGAGGATTTTGTGTTTGTGGATTGTGTGGAGACGCACAATCCAAAGACAGGTGCGATTTAGTCCTGCTTTATAGCTGCCTTAGACCAGCTTTAGACCTGCTTTAGTCCTGCTTTAGTCCTGCTTTAGTCCTGCTTTAGATCTGCTTTAGTTCTGCTGAAGACCTGCTTTAGTACAGCTTTAGACATGCCTTAGTCCTGCTTTAGTTCTGTTTTAGACCTGCTTTAGACCTGCTTTAGACTTGCTTTAGACCACTTTAGACCGGTTGTGGCTGTTGAAGTTGAACTTTGTTTTGAGACAATGTACTTGTATTTATCTTTTTCAGATCATTCAGTTTTTGGGACAGATTTGGTCCACTTGCCCTCGGACCTTGTGACCCCACCTGACCCAGTCCCAGCACACAGGAAGAAGCGGGTCTCAGATCGGAAGCGGCAGACCCTCCAGACCACAGTGAACCAGGACTATGGACGTAACGTGGATCATCCTAGACCTTCACCAGGTACAAGTCACTGTGCCTGCTGACACAAGCACACATGTGACCCTCTGTCTGTTTCCACTCCAGGCCAGGGTCTGGTCCATCATCCTGAAGTGAGTCCAGAGCCAGGGACCGGGCTCTCATCTGTGCCCTGCTATGGCTGTGGGGCCCCGCTTCAGACCGTTGACCCTATGGTCCCGGGATACCTGCTCCCACACCACTTTTACCAACCCCAAGAGCCGGAGATGGAGCGGGATGGAGACCAAACCAAAGTCCATACCAGGGTCAAGACCAAACCTAAGCCAAGTCGGACTCTGTGCCAGCGCTGCCATCAGCTCACCCACCACCACCAAATCCTGCAAGTCACTCTCAACCAGGAGCACTTCAGAGAAATTGTGAGTCCACAAACCAGGACTGAAGCACGTCTAAACTTGTTCAAATATGATTCAGTTTAAAAATTAAGAAAGTATTTACATTCAGAAATATGTGAGAGACGTTAGAACCAAATAAAATCCTTGTCAAAATCCTTTTCAAACTGTAGGGACGGTTTATAGGTTTTTTTGTCTGTTGTACTTACAAGAAATAAACTCATGATAAATGAGAAAAAAAACATAACAATACATCATGTTCCCAAATCTGTTTTGGAGGAGACGACCTGGTCAGAAATAAAATCACTATATTTTCACAAGTTCTCAGTTGACCACAACACATTTTTATATATGTAGTCCTTTAAGGCCAGGGGTGTCCACTTTTTCAAACCAATATCTATGTTTACAGCAAACTTTGAGCCGTGATCTCCCTCAGATCTATGGGTGTTATGATTCAGAATATCACATTTGGTTAATGATTTGATGTTATGATCAAGTAATGACCATGTTGTCTTTATTCACATTCAAAATCACAGCACTGGATTCACAGCAATATAAAAATTATACTATTTGGCACAACAGCCAAAATTAATTAGATGCAGTTGTAGAATACATTGCAGAATCATAAAATTTGACACATGAATTGACCATTACACTTATAATTAGCAAAACCACATCACATGTAAACAAATGTGTGTCCCCTCAGATATCAGGCAGGCTGCGTTCGGCCCGGGTGCTGGTTCTCCTGGTGGTGGACCTGGTAGACCTGCCGGACTCCATCATCCCAGACCTGGGTGACCTGGTGGGAGCTGACAAACAGGTCTGTACTGTTTAAAACACACTTGTTTGATCTTAAAAGGACACATATTTTTGGTTAATAGATAGGTGTTATTTTGTGCTATGAAATTGTGTTTTGAAATCTTGATTGTATATTTTCACACTTCAGACCTGTGTTTCTGGACAGTGTCAGCAGTATGAATATCGCTGGTTTTTTAGACCCACATTGAAAGGCTAAAAAGGAGGTTTCTGCAGTGCTGTGTACAGGCCCAGAGGAAATTGTGTTACAAGGCACTACTTTTAAATTAAGTGTGTCTGTGCCAGCAGATCCAAAATGGGTTTGCTCATATCACAGCTGCTCTCTTCACACTCTAAAGCCGACATTTTGTCTATAGAAGCATCTGTAGAATGTTTGTTCAACAGTTTTAAAATGCAACGGCTCTTTAAAGTTAGACTGTAGGGACGGTGGAAATATTAAAATTTTGTAAGTCCTAAAGAAATTAATGTATGATCATTTATATGGAAGAAAATGTCAAATAAGGCCGCACATCCCTGTAATCTGAGCTGGCGTGCTGGATTAAAAAATGCAAGACGTAGAAAACAGTGAAAAATAATCCGCACAGCTATGTAGCTCCCAAAAACAGTGTAATTTATTTACATACCACACAAAATAGTTACGTTTCGGGCTGAGGCCCTTCGTCAGACTTGGTTCCATTTATATGGAAAACATGTGACAATTCATTATACAGGATACACACTTACTTTCATATCCTTCATTCGGAATATTTAAGAAATAAATACCAGTAAATGTTTGTGTATAATTGAATGTTAATTGTTTTGTTGTCCTGTGCAGGTGTCTGTGGTGGGAACTAAGCTGGACCTGCTCCCTGTCCTGAGCTCTCAGGACGTGAGCGCTGTGAAGAGGCGTCTGCAGGAGTATGTTTGCTCTCTCACTGGGTTCCAGGCCCTGTCCGTCAGCCTGGTGAGCGCTCAGACCGGCTACGGAGTGGAGGAGCTGGTGTCCACGCTGCACAGGGTGTGGAGACACAAGGGAGACGTGGTGCTGGTGGGCTCTGCCAACGCGGGCAAGTCCACGCTCTTCAACGCTCTGCTGGAGTCTGATTACAACCGGCTGTCAGGCTCCCGCAGGGCCACCGTGTCCCCCTGGCCAGGTATTCTGGGGCATTTCAACTTGTCGTAGAGCCTCTAAATTTGGTACTCTTCTTTGTCAATAAGAAAAAAGGTTTTTCTGGCTACGCCCCGGGACAAACAGGTCCACAAAGTCCATACATTTTATTTGAAAATGGAAAACAAAAATTGTGTGGAAAAAAGTGCATTGGTTGTTTGTTTGAATGGTGACATTTGTCCACATGAGTGAGGGCCTCCATGTCTACAGACTCTCGCACTGTTCACAGAAGCAGAAAGAAAGCTGCTCTCAAGGTTCTATTCTCACACAACACATTCTGAAGACTCTTTTTATTCAGATTCCGAACGCCAAGAAGCTTCTGATCTATACCCAACAAAATGTAAGACCAAACGTGTCTTATAAATGTGCCTGAACCAACAAAAAGCCTACAAAAAGTGTTTCAGGCTATGATGCTTATGTCTGTAGGTGTCAACTTGTCTTTTCTGTTCTTCATACTCGTGTGAAATGTTCACTGTTTACATTAGTAGAAAATCGAATGTGCATTGTCAATATATTTGTGGACCTCATTGATTTGAGTTTATGTTTCAGGGACCACTCTTAACCTGCTCAAGTTCCCAATCCTGAACCCCACCCCAGCACGCCTCCTCCAGCGTCACCAGCGACTGAAGAAGGAGGCCCTTCTGCTGAGTACTGCTGAGACTGATGAGGGCAGAGGGGAGGGGAGGGGCCAACTGGCTTATGTCACAGGTGAGGGAGGGGAGGGGCCAACAGGCTAATGTCACAGGTGAGAGAGGGGAGGGGCCAACAGGCTAATGTCACAGGTGAGAGAGGGGAGGGGCCAACAGGCTAATGTCACAGGTGAGAGAGGCTCAGCACTAGATCATATACGAAATCGGGACGGAAGCGGAAGTAAAAATAACAAACTACCTATTCATGCCTGTCACTCCTGTATTCGTCCCGGAAACCGGATTCGTCCGGAAGTTCACCCTAACCCTAACCCTAACCCTAACCCATGAGCATACGCAGCAGTAGATTACGTCTCGGAATCTGGACGGAAGCGGAAGTAAATATAAAAAAATACCTTTATTCATGCCTAAACTTAACCAGCCATTCCCATAAAATAACCCCAACCCAGCCTTAACCCTAACCTTAACCATCTTACTTAAACACCTAAAACTTAACCAGTCACCAATTAAGGACGAATTAGTCTAAATTAATTTGAAAGTAGGATTGTTACTTCCGGTTTCGTCCCGATTCCGTATATGACCTAGTGCCGACTGGTGAGAGAGTGGAGGGGCCAACAGGCTAATTTCACAGGTGAGAGAGGGGAGGGGCCAACAGGCTAATGTCACAGGTGAGAAAGGGGAGGGGCCAATAGGCTAATGTCACTGGTGAGAGAGGGGAGGGGCCAACAGGCTAATGTCACAGGTGAGAGAGTGGAGGGGCCAACAGGCTAATGTCACAGGTGAGAGAGGGGAGAGGCCAACAGGCTCATGCAATGCTCAAAACAAATGTATAACTCAAACTCTGAATCAATGGTCTCTGAGTCTGAGTTCCAGAGTTTGTGTCACTGTTAAACGTATCACATTGTTATTTGGATGAGAGAATAGAGAGGATGTGTTCTGTATCAGACTGATGGTTCTGCTTCGCAAACTAAACATCTCCTAACCAAAGCACATTTATGATGCCTAAGTTAGAATCTGGTATGAATTTTTAGTGTGCTGACCTACCATGCTGCGGACGGTTTGCATTTGTGAGAATACTGGGATCTCACAGAGCAGATCAAACCCAGTCCCATCTTTCCATACAAGCATTTCCTCAGATCACTAACTTACTTTACTTACTAGGGGTGCAACGGTTTGGAAAAATCACGGTACGGTTCGTACCTCGGTTCAGAGGCCAAGGTTCGGTTCCTTTTTCAAACATTTTTTTTTGTCTTTTTAATAAACACGGCTCATGTGGACTCGGCACCTGCTCTGACTGTCCGCCCCTGACCTAGAAATGAATTAAGGGGAAGAAAATGGATGGATGGATGGAAGGCATATTCCATCCATCCATCCAATTATGTCTTTTTAACATAATCAGTGAAAAACACAAAGTGCAACATAAGAAGGCACTATATTAAACCACCTTCCTGATTCTCCCGAGGAGGCGCTCATTTCTGGGCCCAGTCCAGCCTCATTCACTGCATTTATTTAATTTTTGGCATTATCAGTTGTGACTGGAATATTAGTACTGGGCCTTTGTCTTCCATTCCACCGCTGCTTGTGTCAGAACCTGCGCTGTGTGACTTTCGTAGAGGGGGCGTGTCAGACTTTTCATCTTCCAGTCTGCGGTGATGAAGTGAGCGGTTCCGCTCATGGATCTATTATAGGTTCCGTGGGACGTCCAAGCGTCAGTCGTGAGCGCAACTGAGGATGCGCGGGAGAGTTGACTTTAGCCCGGTCTAACTGTGCATAAAGGAGCTGCTTAAATTCCGCGGCAATAAGCGGTCATTGAGATGCTTTTTTTCACTCATGTCTTTCTTGTGCCACAGTATTTAGACACTGTGACAGTTTTGTCAAATATTAATTATCAGTGTAGTTACAGTGAAGCCAAAATGCTCTCATACTGGGGATTTAAATGACGCGGGGCTTTCAAGCATCTCCGTTCCTCCGCTCGCAATGACCGCGCTGTGTGTGGACTGAACGTGCGCACAGCTGTTTTTTCATAAATCAAACCGCGGATCACGTCTGTACCGAACCGAAGACGGTGAACCGAACGGATCACGGATCATTGATGAACCGTTGCACCTCTATTACTTACTCAAGTTGATTTGTCATATTTGTCATGTATTGGTTCCAGGTGATGTGGGAAGAACGTTCAAAAGTGTGTCCAAGCCGCAGGAGATCTCTTTCGATCCAGACCTTCTGGCTTTCGGGGAGACTGAGGATGGACTGATCACTAGACCAGGTGGCTCTCATTGCTGTTAAAATGTATTTTGGCTTAACAATTAGTAATATGTATGTGTCCTTAAAGCTGGGTTACCTAACGTTTTTGTTTCATAAATAAAACTGTACTTATGGAAAGAGTCTTGTAAGACTGAAATTTTGTGAACAAATCCGAACACAGCATGCTATCTTTAGCGTATCAGAAAACATGTTATTTTTTTCCACTTACGAGTAATAGCCCCGAGAGACTAGTGATAGATGCAGGCACCATACATTTTACTGCATGGTTCATTGACAGTAGCTCAGTTGGTAGAGCATTGGCCTTCAGGTCTGAAGGTCGTGGGTTCAAGACACTTAACCCCATTTTGCCCAAAGCCCCCACTGAAAGATCAAGGCTATGCTCACACTCAGAGAGCAGCCGTCCTCCTGTGGACTCACCACCTGCAGAGGGTCAGTGAGGGGCTGGAGCTATGAGACTTGGGTGGCATCTCTGATTGCCACCCCCCCTGACCCAAAAATGGATTAAAAGGTAGAAAATGGATGGATGGATGGAGGGTTCATTGACAGTTATTGTATCCCAAAAGTGAGGATGTGTGTGTGTGTGTGTGTTCAGTTGCTGAGAAGGTGGAAGAGGAGGAACTGGCCAAGCATCATGTGAAAGACGCCCACTGGCTCTACGACACTCCAGGAATCATCAAAGACCAGGATGTAAGAGCTACAGGGCCTTTTAAAAGCCTTTTAAAAAGTCATTTCCACACTTTTTGTAAGGCTTTTTACTTTGGCAGTGCAGATGGACTGAAGTGACATGTCGAGTCTCTAATCCAAACTGCTCATACACTGCAAAAAAGACAGTAAAATTAACACGGCTGCACCACTAGTGCCACTTTTTATTGTACATAATTTATCCTGCACAGACTATATTTTTTAACCTTAACATATTTCCACACTTCTGTCTTTTTCACAATCTGAGTGATGCTATCTTTGTTGAACACATGGATACAGGCATCAGGCTTGGACAACGCAGGCGTCCTGTGCACGCATGCATGTATGCATAAATACACGGCCCCAAACGGGCTGTGTCTTTGTTGTATCTAATTGACTTAACCTTCTTGGCGCCACGTTTGACTTAACTCAACAATATACGGTACTGTTCAAAGCGACCAAGCACGGTGTCAAAATTCATTCAAACTCGCTGCCACATGATGATTTTACTATATTTCCCTGACCCCTTGAGTGTGGTACACTGTGAGTTCTGTTTGTGTGTTCATGTCCTAGTGATTTGTGTCGGGCAGTAATAAATATACAGGATACAGTATTATATATATATATATATATATATATATATATATATATATATATATATATATATAAAACGAAAAAACAAATTTCTGCGGATCATCAGCTGAGAAACCCTTGGCGTTTTTTCCTTTTTCCTCAAGAAATAAAAGTCAACGTATCCAAAGTCATTCAGTTTTTATTTACTCCATCAAATTTGATAAGTAGAATTCATAATAACGTAGACGTACATAATCCGTAACACTATGGCTGTATCTCACAAAGTTGACCTGATAGAGCAAAATGCATGTGATATTCGGACTCAGAACACTTAATTTGCCAAAATCAGTTGAGAAACCCCTGACAATTTTTTGGCTGTCAACTTGTGTTATCTATAGAGAAAAGTTTGTTTAGCCAGCTTTAACAGACGTCTATCTAATTGCAACATGCAGACAAAACTCAGAAAATTAGAATATCGTTAAAAAGTTCACTTATTTCTGTGATTCAACTTAAAATGTGAGACTAAGCTATAATTTGACTCATTACATGCAAAGTGACATATGCCAAGCCTGTGCAATAATCTTGATGAGTGTGGCTTACGGGCCAATATCAATATATTCTATTTTCTTAATGTTGTATTTGGTGTTTATACAAGCTGTGAGCCAAGATAATCAACATTATAACAATGTAGCGTTGTGTGTAATGAGTCATACATTAGTTTCACATAGTAAGCTGACTTTTGAACGATATTGTAATTGTGTTCACTGAAACAGATGTAGACATTTTTGTGAACAATATCTGATAGAAATGGAGGTATTGAGCATATATTTACAGAGTTTTATCCTAAATAGGAGCAAATAACAAAAGTGTTGTGTTTCATGTTGTTTGTGTGTGTGTGTGTGTGTGTGTGTGTCCGTCCTCCTGACCATATGCTGTCCCTTGTGTCTTCGGCAGATGTTGAAGCTGCTGACAGAGCAGGAGGTCCGCTCAGTAGTCCCGGTCCAGGCCCTGGTTCCTCGCACGTTTGTGTTGAAGCCTGGCTCGTCACTGTTTGTGGGAGGCCTGCTCCGCATCGACTTCATCAGTGTGAGTGTTGTTGCTTCGCACTGATACAACACTCTATGGACACTGGACACCTCACCTGATTTGATTCCATAGATGAGTAAAGCTGTGTCAACTGTATAGCACTTACAGTCAATGTCACAACTTACAATTTCTGATTCTTCTTTCAGTAATGCTCTAGATTAGTCCTCACCAATTAAGATAAGAGATCCTTTATTTGTTCCACAGTGGGGAAATTTCAGTGTTGCAGCGCACTTACAGGACAGTAGTAAGAGCACAAAGGGAGCACAAAAAAAATATACAAAATAAGTAGCTGCTATGTTTCTTAGCGAGCTGTAATTGATGTAAATGCTTCAACACCAGACTGACCAACATAGTGCGGCGTTATATACTGTACATATAAAGCAGGATAATAAGTAGATCAAGTAAAGTGACATTGTTCAAAATAACAACAAGCCCTAACCTTACCGCACATGTCCGTTAGTTAGATGTTGAATAAGTCCATGTAGAATATTGACTAATAAATGCTTAATAAATTCCAATAGGGAGCTAGCTAATAGGGATGTAAATCGGCGACCGTTTAACCGGTGGTTGACCGTCACAGCGTTAACCGGTCAAAGCTGTCGGTTAAAAAAGAGAAAAAGGGGAGAGGGCAGGTCTCTTCATAACGCTATTTTAAGCCCTATTTGCACGGTGTGACGAGCGGGTCTGTATCTAGCTGTGTGCGGCAATGTATTATAAACTCCGGGACGACTCTCACGCCGCACGAGCCACATATGCACACACGCGCACGCGCACACACACACACACGCACACACACACTTTCCCCCTCTCCATACGTAACATCCACACGCATCATCTCTCCCCTCTGTTACCGTCAAAGTTGCACACTGGCGCGGGTCAGAACTACATTGGAGCTTACATTTACACACACACACACATATATACATACACACACACATACACACATACATACACACACACATACACACACACATACCGGTCTGTCGCGCTCCTCTGTGTCACGGAGCCCAAAGGATTCGCGCAAATACACGGCTCCAGTCAAACCACATGGAACATGTTTGTGTTTATGGTCCTCGGGATCAGCTCCACACACATCACTTGTATTTAAACTTTTGTGAAGACCTGTGAGACGCGGCTCGTCACTCGCTGCTCTGACCATGTGAACGAGCCGTCGTTTGCTGCTAGAAAGTTTTGGTATTAACCCGCAGCACAGAATAATGGGAATATTAAAAAAGCAGTTCTTTGCCGGAGCTGTTGCGGGTTTGGGCGCCGCTGTCTCAGCTCTGATCCAGTAGAACGCAGAGCTGCACTTATGAGAAGTACGCGGCTCGAAATGGCTGTTATTTCAAAGAACGTGGACTATTTTAAACTACGCGGTTAACCGGTTTCAACCGGTTAATGAGGCTCGGTGGTCGGTCATGAAAATTCATAGTTTTTTACATCCCTACTAGCTAACCATAAATCATATACTAATTAGCAATCATTATCTGTTTATTAGTGCGGGCTAAGTGCAGGTGTTAGTGAATGCACCTGTATAAAAAGTCGTCATAGACATTTAGATCCAAGGAGACCAGGATGAATATAAGCTCACACACATTCCTTTGACCTTGAGTAACAGATGATTTGATGAGTTGAGTTCTGTGTGTGTTTTTCAGGGCCCCAGGTCTGCGTGGTTCTCTGTGCTGGCCTCTGGTCTGGTGCCGGTGCATGTGTCCACTGTGGAGAGGGCAGAGAGTGTGTATGAGAAGCACGCAGGAGAGAGGCTGCTCGGGGTAACGCACACACTTGCATACGCACTTCTGTCAGCTCCTTGCGGGAGACTGTGAAAGACTTTACAGGGTCACAACACCATAACTTTGAGAGACTTTGAGTGAATATCTGCAGTGAACATTTGTTTTATGTTATTGTCTAGTCTTTTTCCTCTAGTCAAACTTCATGTGCAGCCTCTGGTCAAAACAACGTTACATCTCAACTAGACACAAATATTGACTCACTGTAAATGTGCCTAAACAGTTTAGATCAGGCATGTCAAACTCAGGCCTGCGGGCCAAATTCGGCCCGCAAGACCTTTTGTAGTGGCCCCTGAAATGATTCTCAGTCGCATTCATGGTAATGGAGTACTATGGCATGTTATGGCAAGCTCATTGTCTCAGGAAAACAACCATATAATTGTAACTGATTAGACGTTTAGTAAAGTAAGTTAAGGCCTGTTATGGAAGTTTCTTATCCAATGAAGGAGAAAACTCAAAGGTCTTTGTCTTAATTCAGAAGCGTAAGTTTATTACACACGTGCGGAGAGCTGACTACACAGAAACAACGTACATTCAGCTCTGCCCGCTCAGCTCCGAGTTTCCTGTTTACAAGACACACACGAAAGACAGTCCCGCCCACAACAGATGGGAGGGGGTTCAGCAGAGACGGGGCTCTGGAGCAGAGACGCCATGCCCCGGGGAGAGACCATCTGGCCGCGCCATAGGGATGCAAACAGACTGCAGGATGTAGAAAATGCACACATACAGACCGATACATATGCAAGAGGCGAAAGGGGGCAAGAGTGATACAGTGATTTGCGTCATTGTCTGTAGGTGTCGGGGGAACCCGGCTCCTTCCTGGAGCAGGGACATATGAATAGAAGCCGCGGCAGGGTTACATGAATACTAGCCGCCATGAATCCTAGCCGCTTGCCATCACACTCCTT